ATTTCACAGGGGTCATTCCCTCTGGGACACCCTCATCCATTTATCGACCACTAACACCATAACCCCCTTCCCTCGGCACCTTCCCTTGTAACCACAGATGGTGCAACACCTGCCCTTCACCTCCTCCCTGCTCACCAAACATGAGCCTAACCAAACTTTCCAGGTGAAGCAGCATTTCACCTGTACCTCCTCCCATTGTGTATACTGTATTCACTGTACCTGATGTGGCCTACTCTACTTTGGAGAAACTGAACAGAGAGTCGGTGACTGCTTTGCAGGACACCCCCGGTCTGTGCATACGCATGACCCCGACCTTCCCATAGCTGGCCCAGAGGGACTGTCTGATCTTTCAAGTCTGGCAGTTAGACACACCATTGTTCTGGCATTCTCACATTCCGATCACTTAATCTGAATTAACATCTTTTCTCCTCCAGCACTCCATAACCCCCCACCCCTCCTCTGGCTATAGCATAAATGCTGCCCCCTCCACACTTCACTTCAGCTCTCTGTGATGAAGAGGCATTTGGATTTGAAATGTTAGCTTGCTCTCTCTCCATGGATGCTGCCTAGCCCTCTGTGATCTCCAGAATTTGTTATTTTCAGTTGGGAAAGAGTACAGGTTATCAAAGCTCAGTACACCTGGGTCCATCACAAAGTTAATGATCTAATCAAAATATGCAAAGTTCCCAATTTACTTTTCTGGTAGTCAGGTTAACAGAAAACACTGATCAAGTTCTTACACTTAAGAAGACCTACTGTTTATTACAAATGAATGTATTTTAGCCAAAGGTAAACAAAACTATGAGCCATCAACATATAATTCTATTAGTTGAAACTCTAATCCCCCTTTAAACTCCTTCACATGCATACAGACAGATAAAAAGTTATTGGTGTTATGGGTGGAAGGAAAAGATGAGTGGAACACAGTTCAATGGCACCAATCTGCAGGCTTTGGTACAGTGTTCATTTTTTGCTTCCTAATACCTTCTGCTCTTTTCTCCATGTTCTATCACTTCTTTGTAGGAGGCACAGAGTGATTGTACTCCAATTACAAAGTTTCTTAGGCACTCAATAAAGGCAACAAGCTTACGACCACTGTTGGGAGAAAATAGATGGGTTCCTTCAGGTTTCAGCAATTTCAGGGTTTACTGCAGAGAGAGAGAGAGAGGGAGACAGCATCTGATGTTCCAGTAGTCCAGTGGTTTCTCTCAGACTGGAAAACTTCTGCCTCTGTATCATTCATATCTACAATCTGTTTCACTGCTCAGAAACCAATCAGAGAGCTTTCGTCAGGTTGATGACCTTTGGCAACTGCAACTGGTCACAATTGCACAAACCAGTCAGCCACCTGTTGCTAGCCAAATCTCACTCTGCACACACATCCGTGCAAATTGTCATTTTCAAGTCCCTGCTGCTTGCAAAGTTGTAGTGTAAACATAACTCACAAAGAGCTTAAGAAACTTGTTTTTGAAAGTGCAGCCATTCCTTCCACAGTAAATGATTTTAAAACAGTCCTCTTTTCCATAAAAATATGCAGAGTTTACAATAGGCAGAGCACCTTTTCGCTTGACAGCAAAACCCTGTTAATGATGACTACTATTCATGTTGTTACTGTAGTAGTGTCAAACAGCTAGCTTCACGTGTTACTCAAATATTTGAGCTGTCTTACCCTTCCAGGGCACTTTTCTGGATCACTTTAGGGCCTTCCATGATTTGTTTGATATTCCATGAGAAATGACCTGATCAGGGTCGCATTATCCTGGAGGGTGACTTTCCACAATCATCACTAACTGTGCATTCTCAATGGCAATGCCTTTACCAATCAGTCTACTTGCCGACCAAACAGCACACTATACAGTATAAATGTTGAGTTGAGTTCCTGTTACTTTGGCACTCTTGTGAATTGTCCTGATATGTGCAAGATGAAAAGCTTTGATAAAATGTGTCTTTTCTCAGCAACACTCAGGTTCTGTAGGACTAAACGGTGATTTGTTAAACATGCACTTCTCCAATTCTGAACTCTTGCATTTTCTCAATAAGTGCTGCACCATTGATACCATGCCTTTAGCTGCCTGGACCTTACGCTCTGGAATTACATCCTGAAATCTGCCCATCTCTTTAGTTTTATTTTTCCTGTAAGGCACACGATAAACCTACCTCTTTGACCAAGCATTTAATCACCTGTACTAATATCACGTCACCAGCTTAGCGTCAATTTATATCCCATAATGCTCCAGTCAGGTACCTTGGAAGGATTCACTGCATTATATAAAGATGCTATATAAATGCATGCTATTGTTTTTGTTCAACATCAATCACATTCCTGTTATCTCATGGCCAATGCCAAAAGCAGATGAAAGTAACTGCACTCATCTGTGCTGATTTGTCTCAGCTCATACAGGGTTCTCGTGCTAGGCTTATGGTCATTGTCTGGTGAGAACAATTCGCTGCCCCTTTTTAAAGGATCGTTACCGTTCCTGTCAACATTATTTTTTGTCAGTGTTGCCTCCTGTGTGCTGCTTTGCCAATGGGGGATCAGTAGCTGTTCAAACATGAGATTGGAGTCTTTTACCTCTGCTGTTTAACAATTAGTTCGGGAGCTCATTAGCGTTGCAGGCAATGCAGGACTAAATGCTGTCATACAGCACATAGCAAGGAACAGCATGGTAAAACAGAATCACTTTTTGTTTCTGCTTAATTATGGTGAAACCTTTTCATTGTCAAGCAGCGGGTGAGGATAGAGTCTGCCACTGTAGCAGACAGTTTTATCCGTTACTCTTCTGAAATCAGACTGTGTCCTCTTTATTGTTTGAACCAAGCACCACCCCACGCCTGTAAGCAATCACAATGCCATCAGCCCTGCTCACCATCATGATTATCACGAATACCACACAAAAGTTAACCGTCTCACTTAAAGATTGACATTGCTCCGCCGAACTCTGTCTCGTCCATGAGGTGACAAAACCCAGGTTTAAGTTCAAATGTAAATCGTTAGAATGTAGCTTCAGATTGGGAGTTCCCATCCAGCTAGTCTATTCAAAAAGCTAAGTCAGACTTCAAAGCTGTACTTCCTTACCGTTCAGTCAGCCAGTGCTGTGGCCTTTGTACCTTGTGGACAAAGCTTCCCTTTGGGGCCCAGCTCTTGGTTTTCCTGACTTGTTACAACTGATTGGCTATTTCAGAGGCCGTTAAGTGTCAAGGCCAATACTATGGGTCTGGAGTCACATTGTAGATGCTTGGACTATGTAAGAACAGCCGGCTTCCTTCCACAAAAAAGACATTACTTTGGGTTCTATTGCAATCACATTTTCGTTGGAATTCCAAGCCCCCCACTCTCTGCATTATGGCTTCATTAACAGAAGCACTGCACTGAAGTTCTTGGAAGACACCAGTGAATCAAATGGATTTTTACAACAAACCATCGGCTTCCCCAGTCATAATTTCCTGATTCTTGCTCCAATTTACTCAATTTGATCTCATAATCGACTACAATGAGACTTTGAGCTCACGACTGCTGGATTATTAATCCAGAACAATAACCATGATACTCACAGTGCCAGTGTGGCTCAATGCATAGCACTCCCATCTCTGAGCCAGGTAATTGCCTGTCGCTCCAGAAATATGAAGATCTAATTTTGGCTGATGTTCCTGGACTGAGATGAGGAGAAATGTCTTCACCCAGACAGTGGTGAGCCTGTGGAACTCACTATCACAGAAAGCAGTCAAAGCCAAAACATTCAGAGATAGTAGGAACTGCCGATGCTGAAGAATCTGAGATAACAAGGTGTAGAGCTGGATGAACACAGCAGGCCAAGCAGCATCAGAGGAGCAGGAAAGCTGACGTTTTGGGTCTGGACCCTCCTTCAGAAAAGTTTTTCTGACCTGAAATGTCTGCTTTCCTGCTCCTCTGATGCTGCCTGGCCTGCTGTGTTCATCCAGCTCTACACTTTGTTATCTTAAAACTAAAACATTGTCTGTTTCAAGAAGGAATTGTACGTAGCAGTTTGGGCTAAAGGGAACAAAGGGTATGGGAGAGAAGCGTGAATTGTATTGAATGGTGGAGCAGGCTTGAAGGGTTGAATGGTCTACTCTTGATCCTATTTTCTATGTTTCTGTGGTTCCTTACTGAGAGAGCCATATAATGTCAGGGGCAGCACTTTCGGATGAGATGAGAAACTGAAAAGCTTTTGTGTGTGGGTGTAACAAACTCATGGCACTATATTAAAGAAAACCAGACTGGACTCCCAAGTTTGAATTTCTTCTCTCAGGAAGTAGTGACATTTTTTACTGCAGTGGGTTGAGGCAGGTCTTTAAGTATATTCAAGGCTGAAATAGGCAGATTTTTGATCCTTAAGGGAATAGAGAGTTATGAAGGAAAAGGCAGAAAAGTGTTGAGGATTATCAGATCAGCCATGATCTCAATGAATGGCTGAGAAGACTTGATGGTCCGAATAGCCAACTCTTTCTCCTACTTCTTGTAGTTTATTAGTTTTCAGGCCAATATATATCCCTCAACTAACACCACTCGAGCCGATTATCTAGTCGTTATCACATTGCTGTTTGGGAACTTGCTGTGTGCTAATTTCCTGCAGTGTTCTTTGCATGATATCAACGACTTTCAATTTCCCTTTTCCACTCCCTTTACTACTTACTAACTTCACCTGCCTCTCTTCCAGCCTTTCTCTTCCTCTTGTTTTACCTCTCTATCTGTCTCTTACTTTGAGGCTGTGTGACAAATGTCCTTTCTGTTCTGACAGAGCACGAAGAAGGGATATCAGTGACTGCAAATTCTATATTACTTTGTTGGCTGTAAACACTCTTAGCAATGTGCTGAACTCATGAAAAGGTGCCGTGGAAATGCAAGCTCTTTCTTTCTTTGTCAGTTCTGTCTATTTGTAATTGGTTTGCTGGTAGCCGGAATATGCTTTGGTGTGATTTGTCCATTAGTGGTTACTGTAAGTCTGATATTGAACCATTTTCATCTTTCTTCCCTCTCATAGGGGATTCATGAGATCACTGATAGGAAACATGGATTTCAAAGCCCTAGAACTGAGGATAGACAGAGCCAAGGTAAGTGTGTGGTTCAATGAGAATACCTCACTCTTTGAGCATCTCCTCACTGTGCCATCACACCATGGCACTATCAGCCACAGCAATTTACTTGCATTAATATAGCACCTTTAAATCAGGCCAGTTATCTTCACAGGTATTTATGCAGTCAAAAGTTAATACTGAAATATTGAACCTCATACAAAAACACCCAGAAAGGTAACTACAAACCAGGTCACAGGTTTTAAGGCTGTCTTGAAGGAGGAGAGATGGGCAGAGAAATGCAGAAGGAAGGAGTCCCAGGAAGATGAAAGCTGTAAACTCAAGGGAATTCTACCTTGTAGTAATCTCTGAGCTACATTTTTGAGTGAGCAGCAACAGACTTTATTCAACAGAACTAGACACAGGGGACAGTAAGAGAGGACACCTTACCAGGAGTTGCAGCGATCTCACATCAGTGTGTCCCAGCTCTGTTTTTTATTCATTTCATGGTGTTCAATAGCGTTTATTACCATTTATAATTGTTCTGGAGAATGTGATGATGAACTGTCTCCTTGAATTGCCACAATCCTTCAAGTGCAGATACATCCACCATGCTGTTAGGGAGAGGATTCCAGGATTTTGACCCAGTGACACTGAAGGAACGGCAAGTCAGGATGGTGAATCCCTTGGAGGGGAACTTGCAGGGGATGGTGTTCCCATGTATCTGCTACCCTTGTTCTTCTAGATGGAAGTGGTCTTGGATTTGGAAGGCGCTGTCCAAGGAGCCTTGCAAACTGTCTGCAGTGCATCTTGCAGATGGTACACACTGCTGCAACTGAGAATCGATGAGGTGTTGAAGTAGATGGGATGTCAGTCAAGCGGGCTGCTTTGTGCTGGATGGTGTCGAGCTTCTTGAGTGTTGTTGGGGCTGCACTCATCCAGGCAAGTGGGGACTATTCCATCACACTCCTGACTTATGCCTTGTAGATGGTGGATAGGTTTTGGGGAGGGGGAAGTGAATTACTCACTGCAGGATTCCTATCTATGACCTCCTTTTGTAGACACAGTATTTTCATAGCCAGTTCAATCAGATTCTGGTTCATGGTAACTTGTGGTGTGTTGATAGATAGGTACTCAGCAATGGTAATACCACAGAAAGTGAAATGCTGATTAGATTCTTTCTTGTTGGAAATGGTCATTGCCTGGAATTAATTAAAAATTGTTGCTTGAATGTTACTTGCAAGTTATCAGCCCAAACCTGGATGTTGTCTAGACCTTGTTACATTGGAACATGGACTGCGTCACAATGTGAGGAGTCATGAATGGTGCTGAACATTGTGCAATCATCAACGAACATCGCCATTTCTGACCGTTTGATGGAGGAAGGTCATTGATGAAGCAGCTGAACATTGTTGGGCATAGGACACTACCCTGAGGAACTCCTGCAGAGATGTCCTAAGCTGAGATGAGCGATCTTCAACAGCTACAAACATCTTCCTTTCTGCCAGTTATGACTCCAACAGTGGAGAATATTTCTTGCTGAATCCCATTGAGTTAGGTTTTGCCAAAATCCTTAATACCACCCTTGATGAAATGCTGCCTTGATGTTAGCTTTTGCCTTGCCTCTGGAGTCCTACATAGAGTCATGCAGCACAAAAACAGACCCTTCAGCTCAACTCAACAATGATGACTTGGTTTCATAAACTGAACCAATCCCACTTGCCTGCATTTGGCCAATTTCCTTTTTAACCTTTCCTGTACATGTACCTGTCCAAATGTTTTCTAAATGTTGTAACTATACTCACCTCTACTACTTCCTCTGGCAGTTTGTTCCATTATACATCTTACCTCTGTGTGAAAAGGTTGCCCCTCAGGTGCCTTTTAAGCCTTTCCCTTCTCACCTTAAACCTATGCCTCTAGTTTTGGACTCTGCCACAATAGGAAAATGACCTTGGCTATTCACCTCATCTATGTCCCTCATGATTTTATAAACCTCTATAAGGCCTCCTATGCTCCAGGGAAAAAGGTCCCGGCCTATGCAGCCTTTCCCTATAACTCAAACTCTCCACTCTCTGAAACATCCTTGTGAATCATTTTTGCACTCTTTCCAGTTTAATGGCATCCTTCCTGCAGCAGGGTGACCAGAATTAAGAAGAACATAGAACAGTACAGCACAGTACAGGCCCTTCGGCTTACGATGTTGTGCCGACCTATTATCCTACCAAGATCAACCTACCCTGCATACTCTGCATTTTACTATCCTCCATATGCCTATCCAAGAGTCGCTTAAAAGTCTCTAAAGTATCTGATTCCACTACCCCTGCCGGCAGCGCATTCGACACGCCCACGACTCTCTGTGTAAAGAACCTACCTCTGACATCTCCTCTATATCTTCCTCCAATCACCTTAAAATTATGCCCCCTTGTAATTATCATTTCTGCCCTGGGAAAAAGTCTCTGACTATCTATTCTATCTATGCCTCTCATCATCTTGTAAACCTTTATCAAGTCACCTCTCATCTTTCCCTCCAATGAGAAAAGCTCCAGCTCCCTCAATTCTTCCTCATAAGACCTGCCCTCCAGTCGAGGCAGCATCCTGGTAAATCTCCTTTGCACCTTCTCTAAAGCTTCCACATATTTCCTATAATGAGGTGACCAGAACTGAACACAATATTCCAAGTGTGGTCTAACCAGGGTTTTATCGTGCTGCAGCATAACCTTGCGGCTTTTAAACTCAATTCCCCTGCCAATGAGAGCCAACACACCATACGCCTTCTTTACAACCCTATCAACTTGGGTAGCGACTTTGAGGGATCTATGGATGTGGACCCAAGATCCCTCAGTTCCTCCACACTGCCGAGAATCCTGCCATTAACCCTGTATTCTGCATTCAAATTCGACCTTCCAAAATGAATCACTTCACGCTTTTCTGGGTTGAATTCCATCTGCAACTTCTTTGCCCAGCTCTGCAACCTATCAATGTCCCGTTGCAACCTACAACAGGCCTACATGCTGTCCACAACTCCACAAACCTTCGTGTAATCGACAAACTTACTAACCCACCCTTCCACTTCCTCATCCAAGTCATTTATAAAGATCACAAAGAGCAGAGGACCCAGAGCAGATCCCTGTGGAACACCACTGGTCACCGAGCTCCAGACTGAATACTTTCTATCAACTACCACCCTCCGTCTTCTATTGGACAGCCAGTTTTGTATCCAGACAGCCAAATTTCCCTGAATCCCATGCCTCACTTTCTGAATGAGCTACCATGTGGAAACCTATCAAATGCCTTGCTAAAATAATTATACACTCTACTCAAATGTGGCCTTATCACTGTCTTGTACAGCAGTAACATGACGTCCCACCTCCTGTACTCATGCTTTGACCAATGAAGGCAAGAGTGCCAAACATCTTCCTCACCATCCTGTCTACCTGTGACTCCACTTTCAAGGAACTATGCGCCTAAACCTCTAGGTCTCTCTGTTCGACAACACTCCCCAGGGCCCTACCATTAGCTGTGTCGGTCCTGCCTTGTTTTGTCTTACCAAAATGTAACATCTCACATTTAATGTATTAAACTCCACCTTGGCCCATTGGCCCAGTTGATCAAGATTCCGTTGTACTGTGAGATAATCTTCTTCACTGTCCACGATACACCAATTTTGGTGTCATCCACAAACTTACTAACCATGCGTCCTATGTTCGCGTTCAAGTCATTTATATAAATGGCAAAAAAACAGTGGACTCAGTTTTATCTAGTTTTGAATCATGACTGTAATCAGGTCAGGAGCTGAATGGCCCTGCTGGAACCCAAACTGAGCATTGATAAGCAGCATATTGCTGAGTAAGTTGAGCTTGATAGCGTTATCAATCACTTTTCTAATGATCAAGGGTAAACCAATGAATTGGTAGTTGGCAGGATTCGATTTATCCTGCTTTTTGTTTATGGGACATACCTGGGCAATTTTCCACTGTGTGGATGTCCTGCAATACACAGGCTCCCAGGAATTCTGGTCACAGATAACGGGCCATTGTTTACCAGCAGGGAATTTAAGTATTTCTTAAAGTCAAATGGCATTCAACATATAAGTACAGCTCTGTACCATCCATCATCCAATGGTCTGGCAGAAAGAGCAGTCCAAGCTTTGAAGGCAAGCTTAAAGAAACAGCTTCACTAGATATCAAACTGTCCTGGTTCCTTTTTGATTACAGGACCACCTTATGCAACTACAGGGATAGCTCCAGCAGCTTTGCTAATGGGGAGAAGATTCCGCACCAGTTAACTCTGATCGTCCTGGATCAGGGTGGGGGCAATGAAACTGCATCAGGAACACCAGTGCTGGATAGAAGACTCTGCTAAGTGTGATAGTTTATTTCAGGAGTTGAAGTTTGATGTAGGAACCATGGGAACCATAGTTGCATGGGTAAGAGGCATTGTCGACATAATGTCAGGTAGTGATATATAAAGTTTGGATAGGTGCAACAGTCCTGAACGAACATGTGGACCCCCCATGTGAAAGCTGAAAACTTGCAAACAGTGCTGGGAGCAAAATGTGCCAGCTTCTGTGTGTTAAATGCCGCCCATATCTGAGGCACAGGCAGAGGTACTTAACCCCATGTTAAAACGCCCCAGAAAGAGCTACAAGATACAGTACAGGGCTATGTCCTTGGACTCAGAGGGGGAGGGGTATAATGATTGCAATGAGCAGCCACATGGACCTCATAGAATATGAGTTCCCTGATTCGGGTTTTTAAGATGGTCCAATCAGGGAGCCCTGGCTGACAGATTAAAAACAAGTGTCCGATGGTGTTCACTCTCAGAGCTGGCTCTGCGGGAGCTGGATCAGTGTCAAGGACTTTCCACGTGTAAATAAAGTATAACTTAGTGATGGGATACCGGCCTCTGTGAAGTTATTTCTCTTGACATCAACCAGGACAAAGCAGCCATCTTGATTGGCACCACTTCCTCAAAGCCCCTCCGCCACTGACACTCAGTAACAGCAATGTGTGCCATCTAAAATGTGCACTGCCAAAATT